GCCACGTTATTCCACCTCAAGAAAAACATAGAGGTAGAAGATCAAAACCTGTGCCCCTTGATTTTGAACAGCCACGAAATCCTTACCTAAGACACCCTGCAGTACATGCAAAACTCAGAATATCTACAAAAGAAGACACCCTCAGTGTACCTTCATTTCCAGTCGTGTACACAGATGGGTCAAAGTTAAACGAAGAAGTAGGATGCGCATTCTTTGCACTCCTCTCAGAACAAGAAACAACAGAATGGAAAGGACATCTAAGGAACAACAACAGCGTTTTCCAAGCTGAGCTTTCAGCCATAAAACACGCTATTCTGTGGTCTCATCAAAAGCATCTAACATATGTTACCATCTACAGTGATAGCCAAGCGGCAATTAAAGCTGTCGATGATGCAAGAAACAAATCATCAATAGTGCAAGATATCTACGATTTATTATCACAGCGCAAGAGAACATCTATAAAAATAAAGTGGGTAAAAGCGCATGCTGGACAAGCCCAAAATGAAAGGGCAGATGCGCTTGCTAAAAATGCAGCTCAAGACCCATCTCTACCTCCAATCAATGTCCCATTCCCTAAATCGTATATGAAACATATGTTGAAAAAAATTACATTAAAAAAATGGCAAACTGAATGAGAAAATGCAGAAGTAGGTAGAAGGCTTTTCAACTTCTACAAGAAACCCACATATGATCCAATCTCTTATAACTTCTTCATCAACATATTCTTATCTGGACATGGTCCTTTCCCCACGTACTACTTTGCACGAAATTTGAGCGATTCAGACAAGTGCGTATGTGGGGAAAAGGGAGACCCAGAGCACTATATTTTCAAGTGCCAGCTCACAAAAGAGCTACACTGCAAAGGAAGGTCACAAATTACGCCTGAGTACATTAAATGCATGCTAACGATACCTCATTTACAACAAAAGGTTTCCTTGATTATGAAGAAACTTTTTGCATATAAAAGAGAAGACATATGTCAAGATGCTATCGCATCTGTATAAATACCTCTTATTCTACAACTTGCAAAAATAATGCAAGATTTCAGAAATATTGCAAGTGTCTGAAACAGGCTAAATATGGTATAAATAGTTTTTATAAAATAGTTACATTAAGAATTTGGACTGTATTAGTGTAATAATTAAATCATTAATTAAAATATAATGTAAATAATATACGACTCTATTAGATATATTAGTGTAAATGTAAGTATTATGTGATTTTTCTAATGTATATTTTCTGTATTTATGATACATTAATTTACAAAAATAATAATGTAAGACTTCAGTGCTGATGCATTTGTGTGTAACAAGTTTAAAAAAATGAAAGGAAATGTATTAATAAGAGAATTCGCCTTAGTAATTCAACTAAGTATGATAAAATGCACACACGAAAAAAAAAAAAAAAAAAAAAAAAAAAAAAAAAAAAAAAATCTTCAATTAGCTCCTTAAAATGAGGTTTATTTTTTTTTAATTCGATGTAACTAGATATACTAATGTAAATATATTGTTTGTATGAAGTACAATGTACAATGAAAGTTTGTATGTATGTTCGAAGTAATTATGTTATTTCAATCTGCCATAATCCAACTTTTGTTAATAGGTTAATTTCTTTGCAATAATTGTATACTATGTCTTTGTAATTGTATATTCAATACGTAAGTCTAATATTAATGTAAAATTACTATGTAAATGTCTTGGTAGGCTAGCATCCGATGCGGGCCAACTAAAAGCCCAGCGGGGTACAGTAGTGCGGCGGAGCAACACCTGTAAAAGTCACTGACGAAGTTCTGGTGCTCCGTCCACTTTTCCCTGTCCCATGACATCCCAAATGTGTTCTAACGGATTGAAATCTGGTGAGTTAGGCGGCCAGGACATTAACTGGAAATCAGCATCATGTTCCTGGAACCACTCCAACACAATTGTAGCATTGTGACACGGGGCATTGTCCTGTTGGAACATTCCATTTCCAGCTGGAAAAACAGAGGCCATGTAAGTGTGCAACTGGTCCGCAATGATGTTCAGATACCCTGTAGCATTCATGGTCTGCTCTACCACAACCACGAGTCCCAGAGACGCCCAAGAGAACGTCCCCCAGAGCATAATACTGCCACCACCAGCCTGTGTATGACCTACTGTGCATTGAGGGAGCAACTGTTCGCCTGGAAGAAGGCGTATCCTGACACGGCCATCGGCGTGATGAATGACAAACTGTGATTCATCTGACCAGGCAACTCTCTCTCACTGATCCATGGACCAGTCGCAATGTTCCCGGGCCCAGCGCAGGCCCAGTTGGCGATGACGCTTGGTCAGCAAAGGCACACGAGTAGGATGTTTGCTGCATAGCCCCATATTCAACAGTGTCCGCTGAACACTGTGCTACGATACTTTTCTACTTGACCCTGCACTGTATTCGGCTGTCAGCTGAGCCACTGTCTGGCTCCGGTTTTGCTTCACCATGCGAGAGAGTCTCCGATGACCTTTTCCTTTGATAGCATGTGGACGTCCAACACCATGTCGTCGACTGCTGGTTTCACTGTCATTCATCCACTTTTCATACGTACTACTGTATATTGCGAACAACCCACGAGTCGTGCAGTTTCGGAAATACTTGCTCTGAGCCTTCGAGCCATTACAATCTGCCCTCTATCAAAGTCATTTAGATCCACATCCTTTCCCATCACACACAGAAGTAAGTGAAAGAATGATTCTTCAGACTCTCCAGCAGCAGTTAAATACCACTTCCACCTGATCATGTGCCTTCCACGTCATCCAGGCACGTTCATCGCAAAATGTAGGGCTGGTCATAATATTTTGGCTCTTGAGTGTATATTGTGTATATTTTTCTTAAATTTCCTAGGATTTATGTATATAGATTTTTCACATTGTATTTATTCTTGACATTACATTATTTAGTATTCTTTTTGTATATCTTTCTGTTGTGCACTATACTGCATTCATTCAGCCAATAGGGGCTTATATCATACTTTTATTTAACATTCTGACTTAATTCACACACATTGCAGCTCATTATCCTGATAACATTCTTTTTTGACTTGCCTTGTTGAATGTTTAAAGCCTGTGGGATTATGATACCCTTATTTTCTGTCTTCACTTTAGAGACTGTAGTGGAAATTTCAATAGCAGATCCAATGTTGTGTGCAAAATATACAATTTCATAACAAAATCTTTTTAGCAATCAAATATTTTATTTCAGAATTACATAAGGTGGAATTTACAAATTTTTATCCTCAAAATTGGTTGAAAGTTAAAAGAAAAATAAGCTCATTGACTGACAAGAACAACAACAGAAAAAAAAAAAAAAATTCAACCAAAATTATTAAACTATAATAACTACTAAACTAACCAAAACTATTAAACTACAGTAGTTATTAGCTAATATTCCATTACATACTTTTATTATTTAATTAGGAAAAATAAAACAGTATACACATATTATTTATTACATATACCTAAAACTTTAAGATATACTACTCCTTATGCAGAACAAACACACACACAAAACTTAGCATAAAGGAATGCCAGAACCAATATATAGATACAGACCGTAAATTTAATCTAGCAACAAAATGAAAAGAGTTAAATATGTTTTAATTAAAATAACATACTATGTTAAAATAAAATAGAACTTCTTTTCATGATATCACATGTGTTTACAGAATAAGAATTGTATTCTTTTTTTACATTATACAGTCAAAAGCCGTTAATTCGGACACCCATAATCCGGAATGATCTACAATCCGGACCTCAAAGCTAAAAACTTTCTGCGCATGCACCGCTTTGACACATGCGCATAGGCGTTTACGCGTGTGCGTAAGACCTTTACGACTGTGCATATGCGTGTGTGCAAATGCAGAATACGCTTTCGTGTGCGCGTTTAATTAATAATTAATAAGCAGAAATTCTAAAATTAAAAATATGAAACCATAATTTATGAAATAAAGAACAATTATGATCTAAAAAGTATCAAAATTTACAAAAAAAAAAAAAATAATAATAATAATAATAATAATATTTATTTGTTTACTTTATTAAGCATTTCTTTCAATGTAAGTTGTTTAAGTTGCTTCGTTTTATGTGATAATACTTTCTCTTTAATTCTATAAACAGACATAATTTCTTGTTCATTTACAAAGTTCCGCTGTTCAAGTCCCGTAATTATTATGCCGAGAATACCGACTAACTTGTCAATCGAAATTTTTTCGTTCTCACTAACCTCTCTGTCACCTTCTTCATGTCTTTATCCATTTTTTGCAGCAATTCCACTTTTTGTTTGATGGACATCAAAACATACTTTCGTTTTGTAGATCCTTTGGGAGCTCCAGCATCGGAAATTCTATTTGACATAATCGAAAGTTCAAGTTTACTTTTATAAAATTGCTCTTACAGTCTGCAAAAAATAATAAGCCGCATCCAATTCGAAGATTAAGGAACAACGCAACGTTTAATGTATAACGGACGGTATAAGCTAAAATTATCTATTTCAGTTAATGTTGAAGATTGCGTTGTTCCTTAATCTTCGAATTGGATCCGGTTTATTATTTTTTGCAGACTGTAAGAGCAATTTTATAAAAGTAAACTTGAACTTTCGATTATGTCAAATAGAATTTCTGTTTCTGGAGCTCCCAAAGGATCGTACAAAACGAAAGTATGTTTCGATGTCCATCAAACAAAAAGTGGAATTGCTGCAAAAAATGGATAAAGACATGAAGAATGTGACAGAGAGATTAGTGAAAACGAAAAAATTTCGATTGACAAGTTAGTCAGTATTCTCGGCACAATAATTAACAGGACTTGAACAGCGGAACTTTGTAACTGAACAAGAAATCGTGTCTGTTTATAGAATTAAAGAGAAAGTATTATCACATAAAACGAAGCAACTTACATTGAAAGAAATGTTTAATAAAGTAAACAAATAAATATTAAGGTTTTTTTTTTGTAAATTTTGACACCCTTTAGATCATAATTGTTCTTTATTTCATAAATTACAGTTTCATATTTTTAATTTTAGAATTTCTGCTTGCCATCTTACGAGATTTAAACTGATGATCTATAATCCGGAATCGTATCCGGAAGTCGCGACAAGTCCGGATTAACGATTTTGACTGTACAAAGACTTTCACTATTTTCAATTATGACAATAATTTGCACTTTAAAAATATTTATGGCTAATATCACTTAGGCTGCTATTACTCATCCATTTGTTTTAGAAGAGCAACTGTTTGGAACAATTTTTCTGCTTTGCCACAACAGCCAATCACCACAGATCACTTTGGGGTTAACATGTAAAGGGGAAACTGGTTCTCCATTACAAAGGTGTTGATAGCTGATTGGTTGAAAATGAACAACTTGCAATTTTTTTTTTAAAGGAACAAAAAAAACCGCATGTCTTTCTTTCAATAGTAAACCAGGCAGAAAAATTGGCCAAAACAGTTAATCGTATGAAACAAATGCATGTGTGATAGGGGTCTTATTCTGCTAATCTAAACTAATAAAATGTATTGAATGCCACTAGAGATCACAGTTTCACTAATGAATATTTTCTTCATATAACAGAAAAAAACATCATTTCTTCATATAACAGTTAACCAGATGAAGCTAATTGTTCAGGCTCATCTAAAGCAGTTTTCATTATACTGCCACTAAAGCCAGCATCTACTTCCATAGAATATATGAGTAATTGAACTAAATTAAAATGAGCAAGCCACTCTGGAAAAGGTTGATATGCTGGGTGATTTTCTAAATCTTTAAAATAAGCTTTGACAGTTTCCACATCATAAAAAATTACTCCTAATCCATTCAACAATTGCTTCTTTGTTATACCACGATCTAGAAGAAAGTCGACCACTTTGGAACAATTTGCTAATGATGAATTTTCACGGTGAGGGTATAAGCACAGATTATCTTGAATGTCTTTTTCAGTGCAGCCCAGTACTTCAGCAAGGTACAAAGATACATCATTTATGTTTGTTTTGTACCTTCCTTCACAAAGATACCTATCAAAACTGGACTTAGAAAGAGTAAACATAGTTATACAGCATGGCACATCAAAAGTTTTCATTGCTTGTAACCTGAGATTCAAATTGTTATAGTAATAAACTAACCATAAAAATTTTCTGTATGGTTTCAGAATGGAAAAGTCTTTTGAATTACATAAAGTTTCTAAACGCTGTTGAACAGTATTAGGGGTGAAAATGAAAACTTTCGGACAAGACAAAATCTGCTTATCTGTAATTTGGAAATCTTGCAAAACACTTTCCAGTTTTTGAACAGAATCAACCGGTCGTCTCAAAAGGATCGGCACTCTTTTTGCCACATCCAGAGTATTCACACCTAAAATTTCAGGCATTTCAGAAAGAAAGTAATCTACAGATTCATGATGTAAAGAAAGTAAATTAGGTGCTTGAGTAACCTAAGGAGGGGAAAAAAAAAATAATAATGTACATCTTTTGCACAGTATTTTCTAAAGTGACACCAATTCAAAATATACATTCATTACTTCATAATAAGAGATACATAAAAATTTGTTTCAAATATTTTTCTGCACAATGTACTCCTTGCTTAAGAAACAGGAAGGCAAAAAAATAGCCCTACCTTAAAAGAGGGAATGCAGATAATAACTATGGCATTGACAGATAATAAGAACTAGCAAAAATATTACTGCTGTTAAAATAATATATAATGTTACAACAATGACAATAATGGGCTGATGTAATAACAAAGCTCAGATTATGTTACTTTGAATATATATACAGTACAAAGTCCGTAATCTGGACGTCCATTATCCGGAATGATCTATAATCTGGACCTCAAAGCCACAAACCTTTTTTTTTGGTATGCTTTACGCATGTGCATTTAACACATTGACTGCCAGTCACTAAAGTTAGATTGATAGTTATTGCCACCCATATGGAAGTAAACTGTATCCAGATGCCAACATACTTATTATAAGAAATATGATTTAAAAACCCTAATAAAAGATAATTATGTGATACCTAAGTATTATTTAAGCCTTTTATTAAAGAATTTTTTAATTACGTGCCAGTGCGTGATTCGCACTACATGTCAAAATTTTCCCCAAATGCCACATTATGCGCTGGCACGTGGAATGTAAAAAATAAATTTAAATAAGAAAAATAAGTGACAGTACACATTATTTTTATATCAATATGTATTACAGACAATTATACAAATTACAAAGGAATTTATAACAAGACAATTACAAAGACATTATACAGATACATCTAGAATGTTATTTGTGTATTATCTTTGACTAATCTAAGCAGTACCCGGGAGATCCTTCACAAAATTTGCAAACATATATTGTATCTTTACATTTCCCTTGGGAATAGCAACTTTTGCATTGCTTTCTTGGAATTTTTCCTTCTTTTTTTTCTTCCCGAGTACTCAGCACATATTTAGATTCAGACTGATGACTTACAGGAGCACGAAGAACAGATGGCTGTTTCAGTAAACTTCTATCATGGATAAACGGTAGTCATACATTGATGCATTTTCATTGGAATACTTATTATAGATAAAGTGGAAATTGTTCATCATTATTTGCAAAATATGCACAAATATTTTCGTGGGCCACCTAATTATTTTTCTCTCACAAGGATAATAAGCAAACATCTGATCTTGCTTATCAATAAAGGCCATAAATTTATTATATTGAATTATAGGTAGAGGTTTCAATTAACTTTCACCTCTTTTGCTTGTTATTTCTGCCATATTATTTTTATATTCATTGGAAATGTAAGTGACTCTTATCCTGCCACTTTGCAATCATCACACCATTAGCATACTTTGCTACAGTTTGCCCTTTCTTCAGTTTTTTTTTTTTCGTTTACCACTTTTGGAAATGTCTTTCTGTTCTTTCTGATTGTCCCAGTGCAATGAGTTTTCCTATCAGCAAGACATTTTGACAGTTCATAGCTGTTATAATAATTGTCCATAAATATGCTATGTCCTACATCCAACATTCCCTCGTGCAAATTCATAACGACTTTTTTTGCATGTTCTTTTCCACCAGAATTATCCAACATGCCTGTATATATCACAAATTTCAGAACCATACCATCAGGGGTTGTGATCATGTACAACTTGATACCATATTTGTGATGTTTATTTGGCATATACTGTCTGAATATAAGCCGTCCATGCCACAATACCATAACTAATCTCATGCCCTGGGTAATATATTTCAGATACTCGTACGATGAACAAATTCACCATATCTCTTACTTTATACAGTCGATCCTTTGGAAGCTCTGTATTCTGATCTGGGATTTTTGCGAAGTGCAATGCCCTCAGTAACAACAAAAACCAATTCCTGCTCATATTTTCTGAAAATACACATAAACCAAACAGTCAATCTGTTTTCCAGTAATCTTGTATACGGTTGATTCATTTAGTTCCCATATGTATGATCAATCCCACAAATATCAAGAGTTCCTCTTTTATGGTGTTCTTCCAAGCATTGATGCGAGAATGTTTCTTTTTTTTCCTTGCGAAAAAGTATTTTTTGAGCATAATCATTAGTTTCAGCAACTATTTCTTCCAAGATACCATCAGTGAAAAAATGACGAAAGAAATCTATAGGATTGTTACTTGAAACAGGTTGGTGCAAACACTCGGATTTTATGAAAGGAAATTTTTTCATTGATGTTGAATTGTTTTCCCAAATAACGTTTTCCGCAATAGTTGAATCATCCTGCTGACATGCAGCCTCTTGCACAATTCGTTCTTCATCATCATCAGAATCCGAAATATCATAGGTACCAGTCAGAGGAACAAATTCTTCGTCACTGTCATAACTAAAAATTGCTTGGGTACTCATCAGATAGCTCAGCCAACAAATTTGCTATTTCATCATCCATAAGAGCCTTTTCATATTGAACTTTTCTTTTTTTTGGGCGCGAAGGCCCTGCACTATCATCTCTATAACTCATACTAAAAGATTATTTTTTCAATAAAAAATAAAACAATTATTTCGAAACCACGATTATTTATACGTAGTTTCTAATTTTCACTCCATGCCAATACCAGAAGAAATACCCTGCATGCAATGCCAAATGAACTGGAGAATGAATAACAAGTATACGATTTTCCCGTACAAGCGCGTGACTAGCTGCAGAGACATCACCCCACATCACGCACTGGCGCATGATTGGCTCCTTGCTGATAACAAAACATCATGCGCTAGTGCATGATTGGCAGTCAATGTGTTAATGTATAATGGACAGTATATGCTAGGCTAAAATTATCTTTAGTGATTCTAAGGCATTTCAGTTAATGTTGCAGATTGCGCCGTTCCTTAATCTTCTAATTGAATCCAGTTTATTATTTTTTTGCAGACTGTTAGAGCAATTTTATAAAAATTAAGCTCGAACTTTCGATTATGTCAAAAAGAGTTTCCAATTCTGGAGCTGCCTAACGATCTACAAAGCGAAAGCATGTTTCGATGTCCATCAAACAAAAAGTGGAATTGCTGCAAAAAACGGGTAAAGGCATATCTGTCTCAAAATTATGCAAGGAGTATGACATTGGAAAGTCAACTGTTTATGACATAAGCAAAAAGAAAAGGAACTTTTTGAATTTTTTAAGGATTCCAACACCCCACTTGCAATGAATAACAGAAAAGCTTTAACTGATACTGAAGCTGCTGAACAATTTGCAAATGAATTCATTGAACTCATTACTAGTGAACAATTATCTCCAGAACAGATTTACAACGCTGATGAAACTGGTCTTTTCTGGCAATATGTACTGCAAAATACCTTGGCAACCTCTACAGGAAAAGCTCCAACTGGTGTCAAAGATTCCAAAGCGAGACTAACAATTTTAGCGTGCACAAATGCTGCAGGAACGCACAAGTGCAAATTTTTCGTAATCGGAAAACATGCACGACCTCGAGCATTTAAAGGAGTAACGATTTTCCCCGTTATATATCGCGCAAATAAAAGAGCATGGATGACACAAGCGTTGATGAATGATTGGTTTGAAAATCATTTTATACCCAAGGCTCGAAGACATTTAAATTCGGTTGGTTTACCTCACGACTCAAAGATAGTCCTGATTGTTGACAACTGTTCGGCGCATACTTCACTTAAAGTTTTAATGAAAGATAATGTATCCGTATTATTCTTCTCTCCAAATTGTACGTCTATCATTCAGCCTATGGATATGAGAATAGTGCACGCACTGAAATGCAAATATAAAGTAGCATTTTTAAAAATCTATGTTAAATTTCTTGAACAATGGCAAGACTATTCAAAACTTTTTGAAATTTTTTAGCATAAAATCTGCTGTGTGGGGCATCACAAGATCGTGGGAGGATATGTCTCCAAATACGTTAAAAGATGCTTGGCATAATTTATGGCCAGCTACCATATTTCATGGTGAACACTATGAAGATAACTACAAATTTGAAGATTTTCGGACATTACAAACTAAAGATGAATTTTTTCCAGTTATTGGATTTTGTAAAGAAATGTGGAGAAGTGGTAATAAATGAAGATGATAAAACAGAAGTTTTTCATTGCGACGACAATGACTCAATCATCAATCAATTAACGGACGGCAAAATCTGTAATATGCATATTTTCTGGTTCTCGATTCCAGAAAATGCAATACCGCTTCTGATAGTGAAGAAAGTGACAAGAGAGGTTATTGAAAACGAAAAAATTTCGATTGACAAGTTAGTCGGTATTCTCGACACAGCAATTACAGGATTTGAATAGTGGAACTTTGTAATTGAACAAGAAATTATGTCTGTTTATAGAATTAAAGAGAAAGTATTAGCACAAAAAACAAAGCAACTTACATTGAAAGAAATGCTTAATAAAGTAAATAAATAAATATTGCACTTTTTTTTGGTAAATTTTGATACCCTTTAGATCACAATTGCTCTTTATTTCATAAATTATAGTTTCATATTTTTAATTGTATAATTTCTGCATGCCATCTTACCAGTTTTAATTTGATGATCTATAATCCGGAATCCCGACAAGTGAGAATTACGGACTTAGTACTGTATATATGTATAGACAGAGAGATGACAGTCCCTTCATATTTTAAAGTTCAGGCCCTTGCAGGCTAATGAACTCATACAGCTGTACTTATTGTTTCAATGTAATGTAATATTTTTCCATACTTGTCCACTTAGTCTTGAGCAAAGGATTTATGTACTTTTGGTACATATTCATCAACTACACATAAATATTTAACGTAGTGAGAGATAATCCTTTCTGGTGAGAGATAAATGTCATCAACTTAACAATGCTGAGAAAAATATAAACAATGTGAAAAATTGTTCCATATGCCAAACTGCACCACAATAGACTAGAATAATCATATAAGTTTGTGTGATATGATTGAAGAAATGTCAAATAAAGATTCAAACCTGAT